ATTTATTATTTATAAGACAGCCTATCGTCAACGGCTTATTGCTGACAATAACCTTCCACCTAAGCATTTATTCTCATCTATGGCAAGCCTTTCTTATGAAAGAGAACCTATACACGTTAAAACGGCATATGTGAATCTATCTTTACAATTACGATCTGAGAGATAATCGGAACGCGTTCAGTACGGATATGTTTTTAAGTGTAGCGTAATTTTAGTATATATGGTATTAAGCTATATCGTTCTTAATATTAGGTGCTTATATAGATAACATTTATCAATTGTATATTTGTTTTATGTAGGTTAAGATTTTTTTATGTTTGATTATTATAAAGCTTATTATGTCAAAAAAAAAAAAACAGATTTAGATTATATATTGATATATTCTATTATTTATTTATTTATTTATTTATTTTTTAAGATTAATTTTTCCATTTTAAAATATGAAGCGTGGTGGGATTTATTTTTTTGTCAGGTAAAGAGAACTTGCATCAAAAAACGATTTTAATAAAAATTACATTATTATTTTTATCTTAATTATATTGTGTTTAAAGCTTAATAAATTGTACGTATATACGTATTTATTTTTTAAGTCTAGGTTTTGGTACTTTATCGTTATGCATAATTTAATTACACATTGTACAATCAGGAGATCGGAACTGGACCGGTCCAGAGTTGATCAACCATTTACACGATAATATATGATATATTAAAGACAATTATTAAAATTTTACACTTTATTAGTTAACAAGTTTAATATATTTACAATGACAATTGATAGTTAATGGATTAAGACGGAGCATACGTTCTTAATTTCACAATTTCGTAAAACGGATAATCAATTTTAATAAGGATCTTTTCTATAAATATGCTATTATAGAGAGCTCTCCCGTATCAAAAAAAAAAAAAGAAGCAAAATTTGATTTTATTAATAGAGAAAAAAAAAAACACGTCTTAATAAAAATCATTCTTTATAACACGGTATAAATTATAAAATCCCAAGGCGTAAATTACAAAACCCAAAGTGCAAATCACAAAATGTCTGATTTCAATCAACCTGAAGTAATTGTCCCTTCACAACCACTTTTTCCACCTCCAATCACTCACGATC